TGGATGTTAGACTTTGCTCTCTTACACAGGACAGCTGCAAATCCAGCACTGCACCCCCACCCCCCCACCTCCTCATCCTGAGCCCTGAGCCCCTGCAACCTGCCACCTCTTCAGGCCTTAATGACGTCCCATCAGACTGGAACTGAGAAAGCCCTGGGTCTGAGCCCCACTTTTGTCTCTTCTGAGACCATAACCAAGTTACTTAACCTCTTCGAGTCTTGCTTTTCTCTTATGAAAAGTGGAGCTGATCTCACCTCTATGACAGAGTTGCTTTGGTCAACTGGTTGTCTAGGTTGATGGTCACATGCGAAGCTCCTGGTAGAATATGTAATAACTGACCACTGGCGTCCTTATATGAGGTCCATAACAGACACCCCAAAGGAGGGAATTCCTTTTTGTATTCTCTCCACATTCAGGGCAGGGCCTGGTACAAAATCAAGGCTCGGTAAATATTTGTGGAGTGGAATTCCAGTTGAGCTATTTCAAATCCTAAAAGATGATGCTGTGAAAATGCTGGACTCAATATGCCAACAGATTTGGAAAACTCAGCAGTGGCCACAGGACTGGAAAAAGTCAGTTTTCTTTTCATTGCCAAAGAAAGGCAATGCCAAAGAATGCTCAAACTACCGCACAATTGTACTTATCTCACATGCTAGCAAAGTAATGCTCAAAATTCTCCAAGCCAGGCTTCAACAGTATGTGAACTGTGAACTGATGTTCAAGCTGAATTTAGAAAAGGCAGAGGAACCAGAAAACAAATTGCCAACATCCTCTGGATCATCACAAAAGCAAGAGAGTTCCAGAAAAACATCTACTTTTGCTTTATTGACTGTGCCAAAGCCTTTGACTGTGTGGATCAAAACAACTGGAAAATTCTGAAAGAGATGGGAATATCAGACCACCTGACCTGCCTCCTGAGAAACCTGTATGCAGGTCAAGAAGCAACAGTTAGAACCGAGTGTGGAACAACAGACTGGTTCCAAGCTGGGAAAGCAGTACTTCAAGGCTGTATATTGTCACCCTGCTTATTTAACTTAGATGCAGAGTACATCACGCGAAATGCTGGGCTGGCTGAAGCACCATCTGGAATCAAGATTGCTGGGAGAAATATCAATAACCTCAGATATGCAGATGACACCACCCTTATGGCAGAAAGTAAAGAGGAACTAAAGAGCCTCTTGGTGAAAGTGAAAGAGGAGTGTGAAAAAGTTGGCTTAAAACAACATTCATAAAACTAAGATCATGGCATCTGGTCCCATCACTTCATGGCAAATAGGTGGGGAAACGATGGAAACAGTGAGAGACTTTATTTTCTTGGGCTCCAAAATCACTGCAGATGGTGACTGCAGCCATGAAATTAAAAGATGCTCCTTGGAAGAAAAACTATGATCAAGCTAGACAGCGTATTAAAAAGCAGAGACATTACTTTGTCTCTGCTAGTCAGAGCTATGGTTTTTCTAGTAGTCATGTATGGATGTGAGAGTTGGATCATAAAGAAAGCTGAGCGCCGAAGAATTGAGGCTTTTGAACTGTGGTGTTGGAGAGGACTCTTGAGAATACCTTGGACTGCAAGGAGATCCAACCAGTCCATCCTAAAGGAGATCAGTCCTGAATATTCTTTGGAAGGACTGATGTTGAAGCTGAAACTCCAGTACTTTGGCCACCTGATGCTAAGAACTGACTCATTGAAAAAGACCCTGATGCTGGGAAAGATTGAAGGCGGGAGGAGAAGGGGATGATGGAGTATGAGATGATGAGATGGTTAGATGGCATCACTGATGCAATGGACATGAGTCTGAGTAGGTTCTGGGAGTTGGTGATGGATAGGGAAGCCTGGCGTGCTGTAGTCCATGGGGTCGCAGAGTCGGACATGACTGAGCGACTGAACTGATACCCATTTTATAGGCTAGGAAACTGAACCTGAGTGCTTGGGACTGCCTCGTCTTTGAACTGCAAAGCGAGACTCCAATATGGGTCTATGGGTCTTCAGCTCGGAGCTGTCTTCTATCTAAATCTTATGCTTGGCCAGTAGGACCCTGGTGGGGCACCAAGGGAATGCCAGGCATTCTCTAGGGAAGCACTCAATGGACTGGAGGAAAGAGCTTGTGTACAGTTGGCTGTTAGACAGCCAGGCTGAAGGCTGATGTGGACACAAAGGGAAGTCAAAGAACTAGTAACCCTGGACTCAATATCGTGTTACAACTTTCCATATTTCTTATTGTTCAGATACTCCAATCATCTTCTCCAGTCCTTCCTGGTTACTAATTCTTGCCAGGAAGCTGTTCATGCCTCTCAGTTTCCTCTGATGGGCACCAATAGGTGGGTGTGGTGTCAGATTTAACAAAAATATGCAGGATTCCTGATTAAATGTGGGTGTTAGACAAACAATGAATTTTCTATTTAACGTAAAGTGAAAAGTGAAGTCGCTCAGTCGTGTCCAACTCTTTGCGACCCCGTGGACTGTAGCCTACCAGTCTCCTCTGTCCATGGGATTCTCCAGGCAAGAATACTGGAGTGGGTTGCCATTTCCTTCTCCAGGGGATCTTCCCGACCCAGGGATCGAACCCAGGTCTCCCGCATTGAAGGCAGATGCTTTAACCTCTGAGCAATGTAATCGTGTCCCAAATTCAATAAGTAATAATCTTGCAGTACAAGTATGTCCCTTGCAATATTTGGAACGTGATCATACTAAAACAAACCTTATTGTTTATCTGGCACTCAGATTTAACCAGGCATCCTGTATTCTATTTGGCAAACCTGTGTGGTGCATTGGTGCGTAGCACATGCAGACCATGTGAGGCCTGCGTTTGTGGCCTGATAGCGTCTCATGCTCGCCTTCCAGGGTACCACTCAGGGTAGACACTTGTCACAGGCAGCAGTCGTGAATACCACTCTCCTTCACCCTCAAGGCCCTGGACCTCTGCCCCCAGGGTCTCCTCCTCCCATCCATCTGCCCAGCCATGGCCCAGACAATCTACACAAACACCCAGAGATCTCCCACACTGACGCTAAAATCTTGGCTCCCAGTTCACTGATGCTGACTAGAAATACGGAGACAGAGTTTGGAGGAAAAAAGGAAGAGTAGCTTTATTCTTTGCCAGGCAAAGTGGAAACCGTAGGCCAGCACCTCAAGAACTGTGCTCCCAGAAAAGACAGAGGTTTTATATCCTAATGAAAGTCTTTCGGGTTTTTTTTTTTTTTTCTTCTTTTGCAAGATTTCAAAACAGGGACTTCCCTGATGGTCCAGTGATTAAGAATCCACCCACCAATGCAGGGGACTCAAGTTTGATCCCTGGTCTGGGAAGATCCCACATGCCACGGAGAAACTAAGCCTGAGCGCCTAGAGCCTGTGCTCCGCAACAAGAGGAGCCACCACAATGGAAAGCCCCAAGCACTGCAGCGAAGACTAGCCCCTGGCGGCCAGAAGTAGAGAAAGCCCGTGTGCAGCGAATGAAGACCCAGCACAGCCAATATAAACATGTAAAAAATTTTAAAGAGAAATAGGATTTTTTTTTTTTAATTTCAAAACAGCCACAGCTGGCATCAAGCAGATGGTAACTGGGGTTGGTCTTTTCTGGTTATCGGCCCATGACCTTCTTTCTGAAATGAACAATGCTACGAAAGAGTGTAGGGGGAGAAGAGTGCCGGGTGCAGAGTGTAATTCATGTGGAGTCAGAGAGTAATTTGCCTTGTTTAGCTTTGTGAAGGACAAGTCCAACTACAAGTTGTTTGTTAGCAGTAACACTAAAGAATACAAGATTGCTTAACTATTTCAGGCCTGTTTGTGCTGTTTCCTTAGTCTGTTCATTGTTTCCTTATTTTTCTTAGTTATCAGAAAAGTCTCATTTCTTTTTGCTGCAACAAATTCCCCATCATTAGTTCATTCCCTCCATATCAATGGAGGAAGGAAATCAGGCATCATTCTCACCTGACTGAGGACAAAGCTTCAGTTTTATTTCACTAGACAAACACCAGGTCTCTGGCCCAGGGGCCCATCTATCTCCTACTTCAATCCTCCTTGTCCCCTGGGGGCCACAGCCCAGGCCTGCTCATCCCGGCTCTCCGTGGGAGCACCCCACACCTGAATATGTCATGTCTGTTGGCATCATCCTGCCCAAGCCACTTCCTCTTTCGGATTGCCCCTCTTCCTTCTCTGGCCAAGACACCTCGCTCGTAGATCAAGCAGCACCCACTGGTAGAGTCTTTCTGGAGCTCCTAAGCCAAGTGGCCCTCTCAGTCAAGGTTTTCTTTACAGGCTTCTTGATGGCACATGTCCCTACCCAGCGGGCATCTGAGAGCCTAGGCCACCCCTGTCCCCCATCCCTGGGAGCTTCTGGGCACAATCATCTATCTGTGTGGTCTCAGGATCCAGCATAACACTTGGCTCAGGGACAGAGTTTGGTGGACCAGTGTTTACTGAAGACCATTAACTTCAGCGCAGATTGCATTCTACCACAATCATAAGTCATTGTTTACTTCCCTTTCCTTGTATTTGGGCCCTTTAGGCAGATTTCAGTTTTTCTTCTGACTGTCAGTCGGCTACTGTGGACCTCTGTGTGAATTATTTTTATTTCTTTTGGAGATGTTTCTTTAGGCCCAGTTTCCAAAGCAAAGTTACCAGGGACACCTTGCATTTGCAAGAATTCACTTGACAAGATACCGTTACCATATAGCTTTGGTAGGGTTGCCAGATAAAACACAGGACACCCCAGTGAAATTTGAATTTCAGATGAAAAACAAACACTTTTTAAAGTATGAGCGTGGCTTATGCAATGTTTGAGAGATATGCTTGAAAAAATGACCATTTATTCTGAAATTCAAATTTCACTGGGTGTCCTATATTTTACATACTAAATCTGGCAACCCTAACTTTGAGGACAGAGCTGGTGGTGGAGGTTCTCAAGGCTGGAGGCCGCCCCAAGAAAACCAGGGGAGGCTGGAAAGGGGAGACCAGCGGGATGGTGGAGGTGGCTCACCGACTGAGTTACCATCTCCCTCAGTGTCCCTGGGATGGACAAACAGCCCACTCGGAGCCCAAGGAGAAGCCAGTGCTGCCACCTGCTGGGGAGCAGAAGACAGAAGACAGTCAGATCTGCGGGGAGCCGGACAGAGAGGTGACAGGACCTCCCGAGGCCGAGGGCAGGGGGTCAGGGGGGCTGGAGAAATTCTTCTCCTAACTGGAGGGAGGTCTGAACCCCTAGCCACTGTGCCCCATCCTCTTACTGTCGGGTGTGGGAGGACCCCAATTCTTGGGCGGCCAGCCAGCCTCATACCACATCAGTCACCAGGGCACCCTTTCTGCCAAAGCCATCTTTCTTTTCAAAGAATCTTTCAGATTCTTCAGAGCAGAAGCTGGACGAGGAGCAGGAAGCCAGCGTTACGTTCCTGTTTACACTCCTGACCGCAACAGAGCCCGCCAGCGACCCTGCAGAGTAAGGCCATGTGAACGTGAATGAGGGTGAGAGCAGAGGGGCCAGAGGGTGCTTCTCCATCAACATTCATACCTGGGCCAGGACTCAGCCCTGGGGTGTGTGTGGGGGGGTGGCCCAGACAGGACTGAAGAAGCCTGGGCCTTGGGCTGGGATTCCCCTCTGCTCACCCCAGCCTCCAGACTCTGGTCCAATTCTCACTGTGCACTCACCCAGGGACTTGGAAATCCAGGAGTCCCAGTTCCTGGATAAGGAAGACTGGGGCCCGCAGCGGACCTCAAAGGAAATGAGCCATTTGCAAAATGTTTGCTTGAGGTGAGCCGGACAGGGGCAGCCGGGGACAGGGAGGGTGACAGGGTTTTCCAGAATGGAGTGCAGGGCCTGGGGCTTGATGTGAGTTTGCACCTTCACTGGGCCCTCTTCCTTCCCTCCCTCCCTTCCCTTCTCTCTGTTCTGCTCTGGGTGACCTCCTTACTGGCCAGTAGTTCCCTTCCCTCTCAAGCACCAGTGGCCTTGTATGTCCTGTCCCAGAGGAGTGGGGGCCACAGCCCTTTCCCATCAATGTGCCCATGTGCCTGATTAGCGAGCAGTCTATGACATTGCCTGCAAGGGGCCGCCATCTTTAACTGTCCAAGAACTTGAGGGGTATTTTGGTCTGTGGAGAAAGGGGAGGGAGTGGTCAGTTCTCTGGATGTCAGGCTCTGGAGCTTAGATCTGCACAGTCCCATGGCCACTTATCTATCAGTGGCAATGCCAGGGTCCAAACTCCACCTGGAGACAGAGGTCTTGGGGTGGGGGGGAGTGTGACAGTCATTCCCCGAGGCTGCAGGAGATTCCCACAGCCATGGATCTGAGTGGTCGACGCATATTCATCTGCAGCTGGCCCAGGTGCTCGGGCCGGGCGAATTCCACACAGAAACCACAGAGAACCCTGCCACAGCCCCCACTGCAGACCAGAGGGGTGGGCGGCTAGCCCAAGGCTACTTTAGAGGGTTCCCGGGCCAGTACATGTGAGGCAGCAGCTTGATCTCCCCTTGCTAAAGAAGAGAAGCAGGATTCATCTCCCTCTAGGTCCCCTGCTGCCAGTCACAAGGGGAGAAGAATTCCCTCCCTGCCTGTGGCTTTGCCAGAACCAGACCGGGCTCCTGGTGAAACCCTGGGCTTGTGGCTATGCCAGATCAGGAGCTCATGCAAGAGCTGTGTGCCATGGGGGTGGGGGGCTGCCTAGGACAAGTCTGGGGACTGAGGGGGCGGGTCTCCCTTTCAACCCTAGGCTTCAGGAGTCAGTCAGCACTATCCAAGCCGACAATCTGGCTCTGGGGGAGAAGCTGCGAGACCTGGTGAGACCTCAACCCAGGACCCGCCTCATTTGTGGTGCCTCCTCCCCACCTCCCGACCCCGCTCCTGGGCAGGCCCCTGGCAGGCCATCCTGCCTGGCATCGTCTACCCACCTGTGGCCCCCGCAACCCTTTGTTCCAGCCTGACTCCTTGTATAAAAGCCTGAAAGAGGAAGCGAGGGCCATCCTGGGGGGAGAGAAGGCCGTCCAGGAGGAAGGAAAGGCCCTCCAGGAGGAGGCTAAGACCATCCAGGAAGGAGCCCTGGCCGTCCAGGAGGGGGCGCTGTTCCGGGTACCAGGAGCTCCTCCCAGCTGTGGGTGGGGTGAGAGGACCAGTTTGCCAAGCGCCACTCAACCGGTTCCCCACTCTCTGCAGGAACCCAGCTCTCAGATGGCAGGACTGGTCATCCTGCAGCCTGACCCTGCCCTCAACAGCGGAAACACATGTCAGCCCTAGGCCCTAGCTGAGCCGAGGCTGGAGACAGCACATCTCCTTGGGGAACCCCTCTGGCTGTTCCTCTCCAGCTCCCCTCAGTAAATTTTACCGAATCTGAGCCATGGCTTCCCCTTCCTGTGTGTGGACCCTGGGAATCGGGTGGAGAGGAGGCCACCAGCTCCAAGTAGGCCATCCTCCAACATCTTCCACCTCCCTGGGCCCTGAGCTGCCCCCACCCCAGAAGAGGCTCCAGATCTGGCTGTTATCATCCTCAAGATCAGCGATCTTGTGATAAGTGCTGGGGTGGGACTGGAAGGGGGCCGCACCCTTTCCTTGGGAGGCTGGAAGCCCCAGGTCTAACTCCAAAGGGCAGATTAGGGAGGGACGGGAAGAGCCACTTTCTACCCGGTGGCCTTGGATGAGTCTTCTTTGTCAGTCAAGTCATGGGGGTGGGGAGAGTGAGAGCTCCCCAAAGGGGCCCCAAACCCACATACTTCAGGCCTGGAAATGCTGCTGGAGTTTGAATTCCCACTCCCACCTCCAGCCAGGATCTCCTGGGGCCCGGCCTTGAGACCTGCTCCCCTTCACCATTGACGGTCTTCCTGTCCTGAGTCATAAATTCCACCCCTACCTCATCCATGGACCCGAGTGTCCAGCTGTGGTCCCTGTGCTCTGGCCACCGACAGGCCTTCAGGTCTTTTTTATTTATTTATTTTTTTATTTTTTTAATCGATTTAATACATTTCTAGGGTTTTATTTCCTTTTATTTTAAAATATCTAAAATGGATTCAAATGGATTGACATCATCAGCTAACTATATCTACTATGATTAACATGGTTTGACACAATCATAAAAAATAAAATGATTAAACAATATGCTTAACTTGAAAAATTTTAACTATGCATTAATTTATTGAGAATCTACTAGAAAATTTTCATTCTCTAGAATTATCACTTGTATTAAGAAGTATTTTGCTAAAGGGAAAAAGCTAAATGATTGAACATTACAAAATGAAAAAGTAAAAGTCAATTTCTTATTTATAGTGTGAGATATTAAGTCTCATATCCAAAAATCCAATTTGTTAAGATATTAAGGATTATGCTTTTGAAGTAAGTTCATTACTGACCTTACTGTTAGAAGCATGTTGTAATTCTACACAAAGTTCTAAAATAATATCTCAGATTAGAGGAGCATCTTAGTAACATTAAAAAAAATGGCTTGAGGGTCACAATATTGATTTTAAAATTGTTTTCTGAACCAATTATCAATGAGGCATATTTGTTCCCAGTAACTCTTTAGTTAATATATGCCTATCCTGTTTGATGATTATTTTTTAATCTCTTCTCACAGACTCCTATTGTCCTTTGCATGAGTCAAGAGGTGGGCTTTCACGTTATTTGACTGAATAAATTTCTTGCGACAGCCTACAAAAGGACACACAAAAGGTTTCTCCCCAGTGTGGATGCGCACGTGTGTACGCAAGTTGAAGGACAGGGAAAAGCGTTTTCCACACCCTTCAAAAGTGCATGGAAATGGCTTCTCTCCAGTATGAACCAGAAAATGTCTTTTTAGCTTTGCACTTTCCTTGAAGGCTTTCCCACATTCTGCACACACATGATCTCGGGGATTATGAACTCGAAGATGCTTTCTCAGGGATGTTTTATTCTTGAACTCTCTTATGCATCCATCGTGAGGACAGACATGTTTTTCTGGAGCACCACATTCTTTATTTGTACTTGGCTTCCTTCTTGTGCATCCTGTGAGCTGTTTAGGTTCTGAAAAGTCCGTGTTGGGTATTCCTCCAGGAGGAAGCTTGTTGCTTGGCTTGTACTCAGAAAACTCAAGAAGTGGATTCTCTCCAACATTCTGTTGAGGAAGTTCTTGTTTCGCATCCGTTTTCATGTATTCCAGGGAACATTCAAGAAGTGAGCTTGCCGCAAGAACCTCTTATTATGCATTCTATGTAACAGTCAGAGAAGGAATCCTCTTCGACAACCCGAAAACGAGTCTCATAGCACACATCCTCGTCACGTAAGATCCATGTCGTGTCAGGAGGTTCCTGCCGGGCTGGCGGCGACTTGTCCCCACTGGCAGCTCTTCCACCCAGGCCTCTCTGGCGAGGTGTCGTTACCCGTTTCTTCAGCTGCTGGTCCATGGTGTCCTGTTAATTTCCTCTTTGAAGATTTACACCAGGATAGATCAACCACTTCCGGGTCGGAGTGATTGGCCTGAATTGTCTTCAGCAAGCACCCATGCTACCGCGAAGCACTCTGTCTCCTACTACAAGTCCTTTCAAAGGTCAGATGTAGAAGAAACTGCTACTAGAGCTCCCCCGCCTTCAGGTCTTGTACCCCTCAGCTTCATTGCCCTCAGACCCGGCCCAGCCCTGGGGAGCCTTCCTAGGCATCCCCTGATTACTGATGTAATGAGAGAGTGAAGACAGAGACAGAGATGCACAGAGAATGTACAGGTAGAGTATTCAAAAACTTAGAAATTTTTCCTATACCACTAAACAAAGAACGTGCTTTAGATTTTTTTTTTTTAAACTCCCTAATGAAGGAGATAACAGAGCCAGCAAGCTGACAAAGCCTATTTAAAGAAGGATACAAGAAAGAGAGACACATATGTGTTCAAGGGAGAAAAAGAGGAGGAATCCTGAAACAAGATTGCTAAATGAGATACAAAAATTGGTCAGCATGCTATAGGACAAGTTTGGGCAAAGCCCCATAACCCTAAGGGTGGTATTGTTTACTGGGCAGAATCCCCTCTGCCCTCATATACCCACTGCAGGGGACACTAGCTGGGAAGATGGAAGTCCAGGTTGCGCCCCTGTCAAACCCAGTTTGACCTATACCAGACCCATGGGATCCCGCCCAGGCCGAAACCTGATGACTCACTGCACTAGTGAAGCTTTGATTTGGTCACAGCTTTAGACTGAACTGTGTGTGTGTGTGCATGCTCAGTCATGTCTGACTCCTTGCAACCCCATGGACTGTAGCCTGCCAGGCTTCTCTTTTCCAGGCAAGAATACTGGAGTGGGTTGCCATTTCCTACTCCAGGGATTGAATCTGAGTCTTTGTGTCTCCTGCATTGGTAGGCAGATTCTTTACCAGAAGCGCCACCTGAGCTGGGCTCTGATTTACCTCCCTCCACTCCCAAGAGTCTACCCTCCTCTCCTAGCCAACCAGTGACCCAGTGGTATAGCTGTGTTCTTTTCCTGAAGGGAGTCATACCATAATGATATTGAGGATAGTTAGATCAGCTAAATGATTAAATCAGTTTAACCACTTTAGGACGTCTATCTCCAAGATATTGCATGGTCTCGTTTTTGATAGGTGGCAGGTTTTTAAAATTTTATTTTATTGAAGTATAGTTGTTTCCTGATGTGTTAATATCTGCTGTGCCTGCATGCTCAGTCACTCACTCATGTCTGAATGTTTCAACCACATGGACTGTAGCTCACCAGGCTCCTCTGTCCATGGGATTTTATAAGCAAGAATACTAGAGTGGGTTGCCATTTCCTCCTCCAGATTTCTGCTGTATAGCAAAGTAATTCAGTTAAATAGGATTGACCAAAAATTTCTTTTGGGTTTTTCCATAACATCTTATGTGTATATGCATACATTTTTTTTTTCTCTAGACTGCCTCTTTTATAAAGATTGGATTAGGGTAGGTGAGAATCACAAGTGAAGTGAAGTGAAAGTTGCTCACATGTCCGACTCTTTTCAGCCTCTTGGACTATACAGTCCATGGAATGCTCCAGGCCAGAATACTGGAGTGGGTAGCCTTCCCCTTCTCCAGGGGATCTTCCCAACCCAGGAATTGAACCAGGGTCTCCCGCATTGCGGGCAGATTCTTTACCAGCTGAGCCACAAGGGAAGCCCGAGAATTACAAAGATTTAAAAGATAAAGAAGAACCCATGTCAAAGCTGCCATCAGGTAGCACCACTGACAAGTTCTTGCACTTTTCTTCCCTGTCTCAGTAATCCCCTCCACAGAAGGCAGACTTTACTGGAACAGCTCTGTCCTTCCCTGTGAAGTCTCTGCTGGCACCAGTATGCTGGCACTGCCCAGCAAACCTGGACAGTGGGGAATGCCTGCCTTAGGCTGGTTTTATCACAGGATATTGGGTATAATTCCCTGTGTATATTTGCAGCATGGGGGATCTTTAGTTGCAGCATGTTTTAGGACCTTGCTGTTTTTCCATTCTATATGTAATAGTTTATACCTGCTAATCCCAAACTCTTAATACATCCCCCCCTTATCCCACCTCGGCAAGCTAGGCAGCAGTTTTTGTTTTATGTATATATTATTTTAGTTTAGTTTTATGTTTTTGTTTATTTTAATTTTGGCTGTGCTGGGTCTTTGTTGCTGCGTGAGTTTTTCTCTAGTTGCAGCGAGTAGGGGAGAAGGAAATGGCAACCCACTCCAGTACTCTTGCCTGGAAAATCCCATGGACGGAGGAGCCTGGTAGGCTGTCATCTTTGGGGTCGCACAGAGTCGGACAAGACTGAAGTGACTCAGCAGCGGCAGCAGCGAGTGGGGGTTACTCCTATCTGCGATATGCGGGCTTCTCATTGAGGTGGCTTCTCTTGTTGTGGAGCCCGTGGGCCCAGCAGGTGCGGTTCCTGGGCTCTCGAGCACAGGTTCAATAGTTGTGGTGCATCGGCTTAATTGCTTTGCAGCATGTGGGATCTTCCTGGACCAGGGATCAAATCTAAGTGTGCTGCATTAGCAGGCAGATTCTTTACCACTGAGTCGCCAGGGAAGCCCACGTGCCCACATTTTGTATCTCTGTGGTTGCTCTGGACACCCCTTAAATATCAGACAGCTGAGTATGAATGCCCAGGGTGGAGGAGCTGAGCTCATTTTGGTCAGGTTTTCATCCATTCTACAAGTATTTGTTGAGTGCCTCCTATGTGCCTGGCACTGCTCTGGGCTCTGGCAATTCAGCAGTTAATAAAACAAAGATCGGGCCCTAGCAGAACTTACATTCTAGAAGGGGAGATAAGGGATAATTAATATCAGGACAGTGATGGATGCAACAGAAAAATGAAGCAGGAGAAGGGAGGGAAAGCCTGAGAGGCAAAGGAACACAATTTAAAGAGAGTGGCAGGAAGATCTTGTACAGAAGTGACATTTGAGCAGAGATGTAGGGGACCTGAGGGAGGGACCACAGTGGGATGTACAGCCATGAGATCGCCTAGGAAATGGGTGTAGCTGGGGAAGCTATCCAAGGTTGAACCCTGGTCGTCTGACACTAAGAGGGCAGGAGATGAAGAGGACCCAGCAAAGGAGACTGGAAAGGAAGAAGGAAACCGGGTGAGTGAGATGTCCTGGGAGCCAAGTGACCAAAGCGCAGAAAGACGACGGGTGATCGTCTGTGAGCAGCACTGCTGCGGTTCAAGTAAGAAAAGAGGACAGAACTGACCAGTGCATTGAGCAACATAGAGAAAAGTGGACCTTTTCAAGAGCAATTTTAGTGGAATAAAGCCTAAATGGAGTGGCCTCAAGAAAGAATGTGGGGGGAGGGACTTCCCTGGTGGTCCGGTGGCTTAGACTCCTTGCTCCCAATGCAGAGGGCCTGGGTTCAATCTCTGGTCAGGAGAGTAGACCTCACCCACCACAACTAAAGATCCCACATGCTGCAACAAAGATCAAATATCCCAAGTGCCACAACTAAGACCTAGCACAGCCAAATAAATAAATATCTAAAACGAAGAAGAAGAAGAATGGGAGGAGAGGAATTGGAGACGAGCATGGTCCACTCTTCCGAGTTTTTTTGTAAAAGGGGACAGAAAATGGGACAGTTACTAGCAAGTGGAATTGAGAGTTGTGTGTTTTTTTTTTTTAAGATTGTGTTAAGCACCATAAACAGGTGCTTTAGGTGGATGGAAGTGACCCAGTAAAGGCCAGGAGACTTGTGGAGCCACTTCCTTGAGCAGTGAGGGCAGGGTGGGTTTTGCCCAGGGTATAGGCTCCCTTGGATGGAGGTGTGGATCACACAAGGGGACGTTCCTTCTGATTTTCTCAGTGAAATAGGAAGCAGTCTTCAGCTGAGAGTAAGGGTTGAGAAGAATGTGTCAGAAGCTTGAAAAGAGAGGACGGACTATGAAACCACTATCTAGGATGGGGGGAGGGACTGTGGACCAGGGAAGGATGGTAAGATTGCTGGGCAGTATTGAGGGCCTGCTTGAGGTCCCAGATCATAAACTTAAGGTGAGATGAATGAGGTCATCTGACTGTACAGGTACATTCGGGGTCAAGAGTAAAGGTGAAGTGTAGGCAGAGGAGTGGATGTAACCAGGTCAGGGATTTTTCCAGTGAATGTGACCAAAGCAGAGAGGATCAAGGTGGTGGAGAGGGTTTTCAAGAGACTCCGGCTGGGTGAGGAAGAAGATAAGCACACTTGGGAGTTGAGAGAGAAAGGACAGGAGCCAGAACCAAAGGACTGACAGTCCTGGAGGATCGAAGAACTCTCTGAGTCCGAGGGAAGGAGGGAGTGAGTTGGGAAGATAAGGAAATCAAGAGACTTCCCTGGCGGTCCAGCAGTTAAACACTCTTCCACTGCAGGGGTTGCGGGTTTGATCCTTGGTCAGGGAACTAACATCCCACATGCCAGGTGGTGCGCCCCAAAAGTAAGACAAATAGGTGCAGATGAGTGGATGGACATAATCATTCACTAAAGGAAATCAAATGCATTAGCTTTCTGAAGGGATTTCCATCAATACCCACAGTCCCTCCAAAATATTCAGAGAGGGGCCATACCATCCTCCCAGCCAAGATGGAGAAAGAAGATTGATCAAGTTAATGTCTGGTGCAGACAGCAGAGTTGATGTCAGTTGATTCCAACAACCTGAGCCGGAGTTCTCCAATGTCACCCACTCAGATGTCACACACTCTTGTCCAGGTGTCATGTCTGTGGCCTCACACTTTCCAGGATGGGGGTAGGGCAGGACCGTGGGGTTTCCGTCTCATGGTGTCACCACCACATCTGTTCCTTAATTATCAGTTGACCTTGGTGTCTGGCTGGCTGCCCGGTGGTAACTGTCCTCTCATGCCCTTGTAAAGGAATGTGTACACTCCCCACACTGATGGGCTACTGATAAGATCACATCCTGGGTGCTGATAATCATCTCTCCAATAACTGGCTTTTGGGGGCACCTCCCTGAAGTCCCTGATCACACTGTACCCCACCCCTAGTCCTGCCACGCTAATGTGCTAACACTCCTGACCAACAGCACAAGGGAGGTGGGCACCGTGGCACAGGTGAACAGGGCTGTAAGCAGTAGGAAGGGGGCTGCTCTACTCTGAGAGGGTGCTGTGAAATCACACACACACACATACACACAGTCTACCTTGCCCAGCTCTCCTGGATCTCCAGGCATCTTTGGGCTGATCAATAGATTGCAGCCTGGCTGGACAGAATCCTAAGGCAGGATAAGCCATGGAGGGTGGAAGGAGTCACACTTGAGCCCCAGGGATCTTCCCAGCCCTTCCTGGCTCTCTTTGAAGTCAGAAAGAGGCTCAACACTTAAACTGAGTACTTGGTGGCTTCCTCTCCCTCTCCACCCATCCTCATCTCTATGGATGGCCTGCCCCTTGCCTTTTCTGCATGCTGAATACTATCTTATCATTGGAAGATCCCCTCAAATGTTCCCTCTGGACAGAATTTGTCATTCATTCCACTGGAAGCACACTGGTCCTCCCCTCTATAGGGATGCTTGCCACATGGTTGAACCCAAAGCCTGTCTGGTTCCTCTGCTGGACCTGAGTTCCTGGGTACTTTGGCTTCCCCAGAGCCTGGCATGGGTCTGGCATAGGGCTGAATAAATGAAAGATGCTGGCAGTTAAGAGTGAAGGAATGAATAAATGAATGGATGGATGGAGGGGAGGGCAGAGGATGGGTGGATGGGAGAATGGGTGAACAAATTTCGGGGTGGATGCATGAACAGATGGATGGGTTTCTGATACAGGGGATGATGGAGGAGGAGGTCACCTTATCAAGAAAGTGTGGGCTTCCCCAGCTCCGTCCTCTAGAACAGTTTTCATTTTAAGAGTCCCACTTCCTTCTGTAAGCTTGGACCCCTACAGGATAGTTACAGAGAGTCCTTCTGGGTCTCTCTTCTTCCCTTAGCTCTAGGCTTAGCATTTTTAGGGGGTTTAGATGAGGCAGAAATGGCTAAAATATACTGAGTTCCCACTATGGGTCTAACACCAGGCTAGACATTTTTACAGATGTGGCCTTGTTTAATAAAAATAGCACCCCAGTTCTGTGAAATTGGTTCTATTATATTATCCCATTTTTACAGTGAAGAAAATGGGCTCAGAGACACTAAGTGAATTGTCTAAGGTCATACAGCTAATGTCTAGCAAAGGATGGGATTTGAATTTAAAACCTACTCAAGGAGCCAGGGCTGGATGTTCTAGAGATCAAGTGACACCGAGGAACCAGAGGCCGGGATGGCTGGCGGCAGGGCTGGCCCTGCTCTGAAGACAGGGGCTCTGAGTTCTAGTCCTGACCTGGCCTCTTTTACTGGCAGACAGTGGGTGAGACTTTGCCCATCTCCAAGCCTCAGTGTCCACGTGTGGATCTGCTGCCCCTCGGGAGTCTCTTCCAAGTGAATGTTGCAGAAATCGAGGTGGATGTAAGGAGCTTCCTTGGGATGTCCCATCCTTTCTCTGCCAGCTAGTGACCAAAGGGCAGGGCCGCACATTAGATAATGGTTAACTGGACCTGAGGCCCCATCTATAAGGCAGACACCGAGCTGGCCAAGATTCCACAGGATGCAGTGGGTGAAGGTACTGGGAGGGGTGGTGGGGGCTGCTGCCCTCTTGGGGCTGGGGATCATTGTGGGTCACTTTGCCATCCCCAAGGGGGCTGACTCGCCAGCCCCCAGTGCCTCAGCCTCCCAGGACCTGGACCTGAAGATCCTTGAGACGGTCATGGAACAGCTAGATGCCAACAGGATCCGGGAGAACCTTAGGTAAGAGGCCTGCCTTTGTGCCTCTCCCGTGTGCCAGAGGCCTCTCCCTGACCCTGGACCCACCCCCTCTCGCCCACCCTGCAGAGAACTCTCCAAGGAGCCGCATCTGGCCACCAGCCCCCGGGATGAGGCGCTGGTGCAGCTGCTGCTGCAGCGCTGGCAAGACCCGGAGTCGGGCCTGGACTCAGCCAGGACCACTGAGTACGAAGTGCTGCTGTCCTTCCCCAGCGAGGAGCAGCCCAACCGTGTGGATGTGGGTGAGTTCCGGCTCTGGCTCCGGGATGCCTGGGGGCTGGGCCAGCTGCTGGTTCTCACCCCAACACCGCCCTCTCTCGACAGTGAACTCCACTGGGGCCGTCCTCTTCTCCTGCCGACAGAGTGAGGAGAACGTGACCGGGGAGCAGGGGGGCCCCGATGTGGTGCCGCCCTATGCCGCCTATGCTCCTCCCGGAACCCCACAGGTGGGCCTGGGATACCCCCTCCCCACTGCCGTGGCCCAGCTCCCCCTTGTTCCCACTTCAGCTGCTCCCATCCTGACCCCACGGGCTGTTGAAGCAAAGTGCCTCAACTGGAGCTCAGCCCCCTACCCAGAATTTACTCGCTTCCACTCTGCATTACTACTCCTTTTGCCCATCACTTAGTCATTCAACAAACACTAACGGGCTCTGCTCCAGGCCTGGCCTGACAGAGTACCTGGACACAGAGCACAGAGAAAACCAGGTGTGACTTGGTCTTGGGGAGCTGAGAAGCTCTGGGTGAGGTCGGGGGATGGGATCTAAATCCTTCATCCTGCCATTCAGCCTTTCCCTCTCTTTCCTGGGCCTGGCTCTAAGTCACCTTCTCTTGGGAATAGGGCCCCCTCGTCTACGCCAACCAGGGCTCGGAAGAAGACTTCAAGGAACTACAGAAAGAGGCAGTCAAACTCCAAGACAGCATCGTCTTGACCCGCTATGGGGGTGTAGGGCGTGGGGCTAAGGTAAGCAGCAGCCCCCAGTGCAAGGGGCTGGGTGGGGAGAGGGGCCGGCAATGGACAGGAGGAGTGAGGGGAAGGGGATGAGCAGTGCTGAGTGGAGCACCAAGTCCTGGGCTTGGGGCAGAAGGGGGTGATTCCTCCTTCCCCCCACGATGGCTGGTATGGGACTCCGCCCACCCAGGTTCTAGTCCATGGGTAGGCCCAAAGAATACTTATGTGCTATGTAACCATGGGTGCCTCCCCCAACATCCCTGAGCCCTGGGAAATAAAGGAATTGGGCAACATTTTCAGCTTTCATATTCTAGAAGTCGAAGTCCTCCTGTGAAGTAGTTCTCCTGAATATCTGACTTAAATCCCTCCTGTTGTCCCCTCCCACCCACCAATTTGCTTCTTTTCCATACAGAATTTTGATGGAGGATTCCATGCCTATTGCTATTTATTGTTATTTTATTTATTTATTTTATTTTTAGCTGCACTGGGTCATGGTTGCTTGATGCGGGCCTTCTCTAGTTGCGGCAGCAGGGTGGGAGGCTATTCTTCATTGCGGTGCATGTGGCTTCTCCTGTTGTCTAGCACCAGCCGCAGGGCACTGGAGCCCCAGTGGTTTTGATGCACAGGCTCCACAGTCGTGGCTCGAGGGCTTACTTGCCCTGCTGCACATGGAATCTTCCAGACCAGGGTTTGAACCTGTGTCCCCTGCAAGGCAGATTCTTAACCACTGGACTACTAGGGAAGCCCTGTCTATGGTTTTTAAATGTTTATTTACTTACTTATTTTAAATTTAAAAAGGTATAGAACAAGAGATGGGACTAGGGAATTAGTGTTTAGTGGGTTAAGAACTTCAAATTTGCAAAATGAAGAGAGTTCTGGAGATAAATGGAGGTGATGGTAGCACAATAATAGGAATGTGCTTAATGCCACTGAACTGTACTCCTTTTTTTTTTTTGGTATTTATTTATTTGGCTGTCCTGGGTCCTAGTTGTGGCACTCGATACTCTTCAGCTGCAGAATGCGAACTCAGTTGTGGCATGTGGGATCTAGTCCCTGAACTGTACACTTAGATACTAAATTTTATGTTATGTGTATTCATCACAGTTTTTTTTTAACACAGTTTTTTCTACAATAGTAAAACATATTTATCAGTTTTCACAATCAATAGCTAGACAAAAATAAAAGATTATAATTGCAAGCCATAATGAGAATATGTTAACATAACAATATAAAATAATTACATACAATTTGGGGTGTCAAGCAGAGTGATGTAGTAAGTGGAAGTGCATACATGCACATGTTTTCAACCACCCAGCCAGTCTATGTCTCTTGGTTGATACATTTAATGCATTTACATTTATTACTGATATGTATGATCCTATTACCATTTTCTTAATTGTCTTGGGTTTATTTTCTGTAGATCTTTTCTAGTCTCTTGTGTCTCCTGCCTAGAGAAGTTTCTTTAGCATTTGTTGTAAAGCTGGTGTGGTGGTGCTGAATTCTCTTAACTGTTGCTTGTCTGGAAAGCTTTTGATTTCTCCATCAATCTGACTGAGAGTTTTGCTGGGTATAGTATTCTTGGCTGTAGGTTTTTCCCTTTCATCACTTTAAATTTATCATGCCATTCCCTTCTGGCTTGTAGAGTTTCTGTTGAGAAATCAGCTGATGATAACCTGACGGGAGTTCCCATGTATGTTGCCATTTTTCCCTTGTTGCTTTTTTAAAAAATACATAACATTTATTTATTTGGCTGCCCCCGGGTCTTAGTTGCAACACATGAGATCTTCAGTCTTCATTGCGGTATATGGGATCTTTAGTTGTGGTATGCAAACTCTTAGCTGTGGCATGTGGGATCTTTGTTTCCTGACCGTGGATCTAACCTGGGCCCTCTGCCTTGGGAGCAAGGGGTCCTAGCCCCTGAACCACCAAGAAGTCCCTCCCTTGTTGCTTTTAATATTTTATCTTTGTCTTTAATTTTTGTCAGTTTGATTACTATGTGCTTCAGTGTGTTCCTCCTTGGATTTATCCTGCCTGGGACTCTCTGTGCTTCCTAGACTTGGTTGACTATTTCCTTTCCTATGTTAGGAAAGTTTTCAGCTATTATCTCTTCAAATATTTTCTCAGGTCTTTTCTCTCTTTCTTCTTTTTCTGGGACCCCTATAATACAATTGTTGGTGCATTTAATGTCGTCCCAGAGGTCTCTTAGGCTGTATTCTTCTTTTTTTTTAAATTCTCTTTTCTATATTCTATTCTGCGGCAGTGATTTCCACCATTCTATCCTCCAGGTCATTTATCTGTTCTTCTGCCTCAATTATTCTGCTATTGATTCTTTCTAGTGTATTATTCATCTCTGTTTCTTTGTTCTTTAGTTCTTCTAGGTCTTTAGTAAACATTTCTTGCACCTTCTCCATTATTTTCCCAAGATCCTGGATCATCTTCACTATCATTATTCTGAATTCTTTTTCTGAAAGGTTACCTAACTCCACTTAATTTAATTGTTTTTCTAGAGCTTTATCTTGTCCCTTCATCTGGGATGTAACTTTCTGTTTTTTCATCCTGATTAACTTTCTGTAATGTGGTTTTTGTTCTAGCCAATTGTGGTTCTTCTAGTTTCTTTTGTCTGCCCTCTGATGGGCTAAGAGTTTTGTGTAAGCTTCCTTATGAGAGGGACTGAGTCTTGCTCTGGCGGGTAGGGCTGTGCTCAGTAAAGCTTTAATCCAATTATCTGCTGATGGGTGGGGTTGCACTCCCTCCCTGTTAGTTGTTTTGCCTAAGAGGACCTAGCCCTGGAGCCTATAGGCTCTATGATAGGGTTAATGGCAACCTCCAAGACAGCTTATATGAAGGGGGGCCTTCCAGGGGTGCTACTGCCAGTGCCCCCATCCCTGTGGTGAGCCCCTGCTGACCCACGCCTCCACTGGAGACCCTGCAATGCTAGCAAGTAGTTTTGGTTCAGTCTCCCGTGGGGTCACTACTCCTTTCCTCTGGGTCTCGGTGCCCACAAGATTTTGTTTGTGCCTTCCAAGACTGGAGTCTGTTTTGCCCAGTCCTGTGGAACTCCTGTAATCAAATCCCACTGGCCTTCAAGGTCAGATTCCCTGAGGGTTTCCAGTCCCTTTGTCAGATCCCCAGGCTGGGAAGCCTGAGCTGGGGCTCAGAACCTTCACATTCACAACAGTGGGAGAACTTCTTTGGTATATTGTTCTCCAGTTTGTGGGTCACCCACAAGGCAGGTATGGGCTTTGATTTAGTCATGATTGTGCCCCTCCTACCCTCTCACTACAGCATCTTCTCTGTCTTTGGAAGCAGGGTATCTGTTTTTGATGGGTTCCAGCGTCTTCCTGTTGATGGTTGTTCAACAGATAATTGTAATTTTGGTGCTCTTGTGGGAGGAGATGAGTGCATATCCTTCTACTTCACCATCTTGAACTGGAAGCCCTCTTATCACAATTTTAAAAGTAAAAATACATACATACATACATAAAAGAAGTGCTCTGGATAAGAGCTGGTGGGAAAAAAAAAAGAAAGGAAAGGGGAACAGGTGTGGTAAAATGATACAGACAATGAAACTCAGTTTTTTTTTTTTTAAGTATAGAATGAAAAAAAGTTTCCTCATAATGCCACCCTCCAAAGAGGTAGCTTTGTTTGTTTGTTTGTTTGTTTATGGAATGTGATCCAGAGTTTCCTTGGGAAGAAGAACATATGAAGGTATATTCTCATTTCTTTCTCTTTTTTAATATAAAAGTAGCATACAATACCCACTGTTCTGAACTGTGCTCTTTTCATCTTAATATATCTTAGAGGAAATTCACTGATGGTCCAGCAGTCAGGACTCCTTGCTTCCACTGCAGGGGGCCCGAGTTACATCCCTGGTCGAGAAACCAAGATCCCAAAAGCCACTCAGCCTGGCCAAAAAAAAAAAAAAACCAACCCCCAACCAACCAACCAAACAAAAAGTCATTCTGGGGATCATTCTCAAGTGGTGCATAAACTCTGTCCTTGATCTTCTTTTTTTTAATGTACTGTTTTGTTTTCATTGACTTAAAATATATGTAACATGAACTTGACCACGTTAACCATTCTTTAATGGGTCTTCGCTGCTGTGAGGCCTTTTCTCTGGTTGCAGCGAGCACGGCTTCTCATTACAGTAGCTTCTCTTATCGCAGCTCCCGGGCTTTAGGGCACAGGCTCAACAGATGCGGCACACTGGCTTAGTTTCTCCAAGGCATGCGGGATCTTCCTAGTTCAAGGATTGAACCCGTGTCCCCTGCTTTGGCAGGCAGATTCTTTACCACTGAGCCACTGGGACAGCCCGGTGAACTGTTTTTTAAATGTATGTTGTGATTGCATTAAGAACATTCACAATGTTGTGCAGCCATCACTACGACCCATTTCCAGACTGCTTTCATGGTTCCAAGTGAAACTCTGTACCCATTTAACACCCTTATTCTCCCTCTGCAGCCCCCAGTAACCTCTATTTGACTTCCTTGGCCTATTCTAGGTACCTCACATAAGAGGAATCATGCAATATTTGTCTTTTTGTGTCTGGTTTACTTCACTTAGCAGAATGTTTTGAGGTTCATTGATGTATCAGAACTTCACTCCTTTTTAAGACTGAGTAATTTACGTTTGCATGCTATATACTAGGTTTTGCTTATCTGTATATCAATGATGGACAGTTGAGTTGTTTCTACCTTTTGGCTACTATGAATAGTGCTTACTCCTTCCTTTATACAGCTGCATGTTACACCACTGTAGGGTACCTCAGTTTGATTGCCCCACTGAGGCGCCATTGCCTACATTCAACAGTCTTCTGCTGCCTCAAGCAGCACTGCAACAAATGACTTGTGTGAGAGTCATCTTGCTGGTAGGAAGACAGACCTGTCCTGGCTTCCACACTGATGAAGGGAAGAAGAGGAGCAATGTGAGATGTGCCCCCTTTTCACCGTCCTTCCCTAAACACAGCTTCCTCTGGCTTCCTGTAGGCTGTGAATGCTGCCAAATACGGGGTGGCTGGAGTGCTAGTGTACACGGACCCCAAAGACATCAACGACGGGAAGAGCTTGCCGAACGAGACCTTCCCACACTCCTGGTGCCTGCCTCCCTCGGGCGTGGAGCGAGGCTCCTACTTCGAGTATTTTGGGGATCCCTTGACTCCTTACCTTCCAGCTACGCCTTCCTCCTTCCGCCTAAACTCTGACAATGCCTCTGGATTTCCCCCAATTCCCATTCAACCCATTGGCTTCGAGGATGCACAAGTCCTTCTCTGGTGAGCTTGTGCCCTGGGGTCTCCTGCCCACTCTCCGGTGGTGGCCCCCCGACTTCAACCCCCACGTCCATATTTGCTCTGAAGAGCCTCCCCCTCCTCCCCAGTAACCTTGGAGGAAAGTTAGCACCGGCTGGCTGGCAGGGAGGACTGGGCTGTGACTACAATTTGGGGCCAGGCTTCCGGTCGAATGGTATCTTCCCAGAAGACGGGTAAGATAGAGCCCCCTCCTCCCCCAACTCTCCCCTTCTCTTCCCTTGTTATGCTTTCTTTTAAAAAAAAAAAAAATTATGTATTTATTTCTTTATTTTTGGCCGTGCTGGGTCTTCGCTGATGCACGTAGTCTTTCTCTCACTGCGGCAATCAGGGGCTGCTCTCCAGTTGTGGCGGGCCGGCTTCTCATTGTGGTGGCTTCTCTTGTTGCCAAGCACAGGCTTTCAGGCATGTGGGCTTTAGTAGATGTGGGCTCAGTAGTTGTGGCTCACAGATTCAGCTGCTCCACGGCACATGGCATCTTCCTGGACCAGGGATCAAATCGGTCTCCCTTGCATTGCAAAGAGGATTTTTGACCACTGGACCACCAGGGAAGTTGGTTATGCTTCCCTGACCCTGGGTTTCCTCTGCTCACTTCGAGGCCTGGCCTTTCCCTTTCTCCTCTCTCCCAACCGCTCCTTGATTCCAAAATACCTGTCTTGTCCTGGGGAAGCCTGTGAATCAGTTGTGTGCCCCAAAAGTCTCTGTGGAGTCCCCCGACCTCACCTTGGACCTCCGTTCTCCAGCCACCCCCTCTTTGGAAAATACCAAGCTCCTTCCCAAATCAGGACTTGCTGTTCCGGCTGATGGAACACACTTCCCCAGGCTCTGCCATTCCTGGCCTGCCCTAACAGCCCACCTGCCACCAGGCACCTTGTCAGTGTCTCCCCAAGCTCCTTCACTGCCTGCAGTTGCTCACTTCCTTGGGGTCTGGATGCTCCAGGAGAGGGAGATCCCACGAGGGTGGGGTCCATGTCTGTCTCAGCCATTGCCCAGAGCTGGTACGATGCTGACATACACTGAGTATCCAGTAACCGAGTGAGTACGAAGGAGAATTGGAGTCAGAAGAGCTGGGCTCTAGCCTCGCTGTCTCTCCTGGTATTTCCAAGCAGGTGACTTTGCCAGGTTCCTTTCTGACTCCGGGCCTCAGGTTTTCCTGCATTTTGGAGGGGGGAGTGGGTGGTGCCAAGACTCCTGTCCCCCTCCAGCCAGGTGAACGTGAGTGTCCACAACCGCCTGGAGCTGCGGAACTCCTCCAATGTCCTGGGGATCATCCGCGGGGCTGTGGAGCCAGGTGAGCGCCTCCTCACGGCTCCCCACGCCCCCAGGACCCCGCCCAACCCTGGGCGCCGCTGACCACGCCCCCTCGGCCCCGCCTGGCTGCCCCGCCCACCGTTGCACCTCTGAGGTTTCTGACTCTGCTCCTCCTGCCAGATCGCTACGTGCTATATGGAAACCACCGGGACAGCTGGGTTCACGGGGCCGTAGACCCCAGCACTGGTACTGCAGTCCTTCTGGAGCTCTCCCGAGTCCTGGGGACTCTGCTGAAGAAGGGTGAGCGGGCCGCCCTGCCCCGGTCCAGGGACTCGCTCCCCAAGAGGGCACCTAAAGCCAGTCCTCCCTGAATTTTGGACGCTGACACCCCCTCCACTCCCGCATTCGCCTGTGCCCACTTGTGCCAGGCCTAAGGGCCCTGGGGGCAGACATGCATGACACTAGCCCTGGCCTCGCTCAAGCAGCCCAGTGTGGTACAGGGAACTCTTGCAAAACCTTCTGAGGGTCTTCTGCACCCCTCCAGTGAAGTGAAATCAGGTGTGGTCGTGAGTAAGGCCGTGCCCAGGCTCTGCCCTCGAGGGGTCTCAGCTTGGTTGAGGCAGGGGGACAGTCGTTAACTCCACAAACACTTCAGCCATGCCTACTGTGTGCCAGGCCAGCTCTAGGCACTGGATGTCCCCCAGAGAACCCCAGAATTCTGACTGTAATGACAACTGTGAAACGTCCTATTAGGGAAAATATCTACCGGGCTTTCCAGGTGGAAGCCAGTGCTCAGGGAGGTGGCAGTTCCAGGTGGGCATGGGGATCCAGGTGGAAAAGAATGGCTGGACCAGGTGGCAGAGCTGTGTATTTCCTCAAAATGGGGACATTTTCTTTCATAACCACGCTACAATGATCAGAATCAGAAAATTAAAAAATTTTCCAATTGTCCCAATAAGTTTCAAAAATTATTTGTTTATATTTTGGCTGCTCTGGGTCTTCACTGTCCCTCAAGGGCTTTCTCTGGTTGCAACGTGCAGGCTTCTCTTGTCGTGCAGCACAGGGCTTAGTTACAGCGAGGCATGTGAGATCTTAGTTCCCCAGCCAGAGATCAAACTTGTGTCCCCTGGAAGATGGATTCTTAACCACTGGACCACCAGGGAAGTCCCTCCGATAACATTTAGAGCAAAAGAATGTTCTGGTCCAAGAGTCAATCCAGGAGCACAGGTTGCACATGTAGTAGTTGCATGGGTCATCTGTAATTGTTTCTTAGCTGTTCTTTCTTTCCTGATCCTGATATTTAGTTTGTTGACTGTCCCTCAATTTTGGTTTGTCGGATTAGATTCAGCTTATGCATTTTGGGCAGAAAAAATTGTGGGAACTTTCCATTGCAAGCATGTAATCATTTTATACTTAAAATTGTTTTGATTTAAAACAAAAAGATGAGAAATGATCAAAGGGGACTGAGTTGCAGCCAGAGATGGGAGTACAGCCCAGAGCACACAGTGCCATGGAGGGTGAGGGGAATCTGAAGGAGCTGAGGGGCAAGCAAGGACTCCGAGGCTTCCAGGAGGTGACTGAGGACTGTGGCAAGAGCAGTGAGGGCGTGAGACTGTAGATGGGAGCCAGCTTGCAGGAGGCTATAAGAGCGATGTGGGGCATTGGTTAAGCCCCTGGACTCTGGAGCCAGACCCTGAATTTGAACTCTGGCTCTGCTGCCTACCAGCTGTGTAACCCTGTGCAAGTCATTAAACCTCTCTGTGGCTCCATTTCATTAATGGAGACAATGAGAGTCTGTCTCTCAAGACCTTCTTGTGAGGACTGGTTCAATATGGTTAATGCTCTAAGACCACTGTGAGTGTTTCATCACTAAATGGGTAGGAGTAGGGGCCAGTTTTGCGAAGATGCCAGCAAGAGAGTTAGGGGATCTCCAATCATCACATCCAGAGAGAAGAGAGGGGCAGGGCATTCTGGCAGAAGGGACCGATGCACTGAAGGAGATTGGTGTGTGTGTGCGGGGGCAAAGTTGGGGGTGTCACAGCAGAGGAGAGGCCCTGGCAAAAAGAGGGCGGAGCCTCAACGAAGGTTTGGCCCAGGAGGTGCCAAGACCTACCTCCAATCGCCAGCTGCCCTGTGGGTTCCAGCCCTCCCTCCCCTCCACATGCCCAACCTTCCCCCTAAGCCACCCCGAGATCTGGGGGATCTTGCCCTCCAGCACTTTATCCCCCTCCCCAGGCACCTGGCGTCCCCGCAGATCAATCGTGTTTGCTAGCTGGGGGGCAGAGGAGTTTGGGCTCATCGGCTCCACAGAATTCACGGAGGTGAGTGAGCCCCGCAGCCGGGCGCTCAAGGGTATTCCCGGGGCGGGCCGCGAGAAGCTGACGTGGTCGCATCTACCTGCAGGAGTTCTTCAGCAAGCTGCAGGAGCGTGCCGTGGCCTACATCAACGTGGACATCTCGGTGTTTGGTACGAGGGGCGGCGGGGCTGACTCGGGGAGCGGGGACACAAAAGGGTGGGGCCCGAGTAGAGTCTTCCTTGTATCCCCTCACAGCCAATGCCACCCTGAGGGTGCAGGGCACGCCCCCGATCCAAAGCGTCGTCTTCTCCGCTGCCAAACAGGTGAAAAGGGAAGGGGTTGGGAGCGGGGCGGGAGGAGGCGTGTCGGGGGCGGGGCTACACGGGGTAGGCGGAGCTGATACTTCGGAGAGGGGCTGAGGGTGGGACTGAGGCTGCGAGGAGGGCCTTGTAGGACCTGCAGGATTCTGCAAGGGCTGGAGACCCTGGTGGGTGGCGCGGAGGACCTGCCTGGTTGTCGGACCTGGGGTGGGGCCAGCCGCAGACTAGATTCCCCTCCACTCAGATCTCCGCACCGGGCTCCAGCGGTCTCAGCATCTATGACAATTGGATCCGATATTACAACCGTAGCAGCTCCGTGTACGGCCTGGTCCCCAGGTGAGCCCAAAGCCGGGATGGGGACCCCTGGACCCCAGGCTCAGCGCCCTGCAGCCTAACCATATTCCTTCCCATAGTGTGGGGACTCTGGGCGCTGGCAGCGACTATGCCCCCTTCATTCACTTCCTGGGCATCTCCTCCATGGACATCGCCTACACCTATGACCGGGTAAGCGGGCACCCCTTAGTCCCCAGCCCGGGACTTTGCTCCACTAGCCCCCTCCTCTCCCTTGGGCTGCTCCTGTGCAAACTGAATCCATCACTCAGTAGTTGTGCTACCTCAACCAAGTTTCTTTACCTCTCTTGAGCATGTTCATCCTCATCTATGTTATTTTACCAAATTTAAGACACCACTGAGTATAAGATGCACTGTTGTGATATGCATTATTTGGGGGGGGGGAAATACACGGTCAGTTGATTGCAGGGTGACATTGACTGTAAGAAGCATCCTAATTTCAGAGATCTTAAAATGTGAAAAAACGTTTGTCTCAGAATAGATCACCTATAAAACAGGTGATTTGAGGGTAAAATGAGGTAAGGGCTGCAGAGTGCCAGCCTGTCTCCCTGTTTGATGCTCCAAAATATCCTTTCTCCCCTCCATGGCCACTCCGCTCCTGAGTGGTGGAGCTGGGATTTGAATCCTCCTGACTGCAAAGCCTCAGGTTCTTCTTCATGTGAAACGGGAAACTGGCACCTGACCCAGCTCTGCCACTTAGTAGTTGTGTGATGTCAGGAAGGCTACTTAACCTCTCTGAGCCCATTTCCTCCTCTGTAAAGTGGGAACCCTAGAACCTGCCTCACAGGTGTGGTGACAACTGACTTGAGATAATGGCTCTACATTGAACTCCTCCTTCCACTTCTCATCCCAAGCTTGTCACCCGTGGGTCTTGTTTCCTCAGAGCAAGACCTCAGCCCGGATCTACCCCACCTACCACACAGCCTTTGACACCTTTGATTACGTGGACAAGTTTTTGGACCCTGGTGAGGAAGGGGGCAAGGGGTCTCCTGCGGCAGGAGGAGGCGGGGCTGAAGGCTGAGCCCGGCCTCGTCGCCCTCCCTGCCAGGTTTCAGCAGCCATCAGGCCGTGGCCCGGACCGCGGGAAGCGTGCTTCTCCGGCTCAGTGACAGCCTCTTCCTGCCTCTTAACGTCAGTGACTACAGTGAGACCCTCCGCAGCTTCCTGCAGGCTGCCGAGAACCTCCGGGACCTACTGGAGCAGCATAACATCAGCTTTGGTACGGAGACCCCGATATCAAGGCATGGGGAGCCTTGCGCCCCCAGGGCTAAGATGCTGGCTGTTCTCCCACAGGACCCTTGGTGACCGCGGTGGAGAAGTTTGAGGGGGCAGCCACATCATTCAACCAACGCATAGCAACCCTGTGGGAGGGCACCCCCGAGTAAGCAAGGGTTGCAAGCAGGTGTCTGGGAGGGCAGCATCCAGGGCAGGATGCAGGCTGGCAGCTGGGCTGCTGGCTGTAGGGTGACCAGAGGGTCCTGTCACCCTCAGTCCTCTGCAGGTGCGGATGATCAATGACCAGCTGATGCTCTTGGAACGGACTTTCCTGAACTCACAAGCCTTCCCAGAAGAACGCTACTACAGGTGAGCCTGTCCGAAGCTCTTGGGAGGTGTGGTGAAATGAGGCTGGGCAGTGGGTGCCCACCCGAAGGAGCAGAATGTCACTTTTGCTGGCCTTTAGAGCACAACCCAGTCCCTTGAGATGGCTGGGGAGTCAGGCTCAAAGAGTGGGGGAGGCAAATCAGTTAAGGTCACCCTGGGACTAGAGCCTACATCTCCTCCCACTACCAGAAGAGAGGTGCTTTTGTCCCTAGCTGTATACAGGAGCTGTTGCAGGCTGAAGCTCTGCTCACTCTTGGCCCCTGCATGACCTTGTCCCTCCCCCATTTCTCCCTTCAGCCATGTGCTCTGGGCACCCCGCACCGGCTCTGTGGCCACATTCCCCGGCCTGTCCAATGCCTATTCCCAAGCCGAGAACACAGGCCATGAACCTGCAGCCTGGGCTGAGGTACAGAGACAGCTCAGCATCGTGGTGGCAGCCCTGGAGGGCGCAGCAGCCACCCTGAGGCCCGTGGCTGACCTCTGACCCCACCCTCATTCTTCAGCTCCCACCCCCACTCTATCCTACCCTCTCCCCCTCCAGTTTTCTTTGAGTGTGTCCCCATCTCCCTTCATGCTAGCAAAGGGCACGACCACAGGACCCTCTCTAACTTCTGAGGGGTCCCACCAGTGTGGACACTTGAAGGGAGTGACAAGCCCCAGATGAAAATTTCCCTCTTGCTGCATCTTGGTTGGCAGAGGGTGAACAGGAGACAGGGATGAGGGGAATGGCAAAACCACCAGCTACTCTTGGTAGCAGATGGGTGAAGATGGGATGCATAATGCCAACCTTAGATGTCAACTCAGAGACCACCAGAGCCACCCCCCAGTGATCAGCAAGGAAACTAAGGCCCAGGGTGGACAGGGCATGGTCCAGTTTGGGTTCCTCTTCCCCTACGCCCCCAGCACATCTCAACTCCTCCCTGCCCTCCCCAAATAAATCAAGCCAAGCTGTTGTTCCTTATATTGTGTGGGAATCATGAAAAAGGAAACCTGAGTGCTTCAGCCCCAGTCTTGGGCCTCTGGGAGACCACACAGTCCTCTTCATACCTCGGTCGTGGGTCTGTCCACAGCCTCATCTTCCTCCTCTGCCATGACCACGTCTTCCAGAGTGCGCCCTCCAAGTTTGTTCCCCACCAGTACCTGGCAGGTCCCGGCAGGTGGCAGCCCCTCCTCAGTGTAACGACCCCTCAGGAACACCACTCTCTCCTGTCCGTCTAAGGGTAGTCCGTGGGCCTGGCACAGGTCCCGTGCCTCCTTGGGCCCATCCAGGGCCAGCAGGTGGATCACGAAGCCCAGCGGCAAGGTCTGGCCCTTGGAGGTGCTGAGGGCACGAGCAAGGCGGGCCAGGGCTCCCCGGCGGGCATGGCCCACGTGGCACTGCACAGCGCAGCTCTGAAGGTAGGGCAGTGTCCGGAGCAGGCGAAAGAGGCGGGCAGCATTGCCTTCCCGGAAGGCGGAGTCAACTGCCAGGGCGGTGCGCAGGGCCGGGCAGGAACGCAGGGCTGCAGGCAGCTGCAGAACCTCGTGAAGGGCCTCTACCGAGCCTGGAAGTGTGAGAAGCCCGCATGAGGGTGTTGAGTACGGGAGCAGGCCCACCTTCCGTGCCATCCCCTTTCAGTGCAGTGGTGTCTGACTCTTGGCAGCCCCATGGACTGTAGCCTGCCAGGCTCCTCTGTCCATGGGACTCTCGAGGCAAGAATACTGGAGTGGGTTGCCATGCTCTCCTCCAGGGGATCTTTTCAACCCAGGAATTGAACTCCTGTCTCTTACATCTCTTGCTTTGGCAGGCGGGTTCTTTACCACTGGTGCCATTTGGGAAGTCCATCCCCTTAGGTTTCCCCCATTCCCCTCCCACCTTCATGAATCTTCAGCCACCTCCTCTGACCGCCCCCCCCCAACTCACTCCTCCCCCACCTGCTCCTGCTACGGCCACGCCCCATCCCAAGCCAAGCCCACCCTCCCTACCCCTTAGCCCCTTCTTGATCATTATCAGAATTTGTTGCCAGTGATTCCAGAATCCCATCAAACAGCCTGAGTCCTCATAATAAAGTGAGGCAGTGTTTACAGATGAAGGAAAGAGGCTGTGATCATTTAATGACTTGCCTGACTGTCTTAGAGCTTATATATACTTAAGAAGGTGACCCAATCAAATCCAAGTTTTCTGACTTGAAGCCCAGCCCTTTCTCCAGCCCTAGCTGCCCCAAGGTTTGGGAGTTGGCTCTGCCACACCTTCTGCTATCTACCTGGTAAGAAAGTTTCTTTTTCAAATTCTGCTTCTCCCCTTTTGAGGAGAATGACAACACTGGGACCTTGGGTAAACTGAAGCTTCTGACCCATTTGCTGTTCAGTCACTAATTTGTGTCTGACTCTTTGTGACCCGGAGGACTACAGCACACCAGGCTCCTCTGTCCTCCACTATCTCCTATAGTTTGCTCAAATTCATGTCCATTGAGTCTGTGATGCTATCTAACCATCTCATCCTCTACTGCCCCCTTCTCCTTCTGCCTTCAGTCTTTCCCAGCATCAGGGTCTTTTCCAATGAGTTGGCTCTTCACATCAGGTGGCCAAAATATTGGAGCTTCAGCTTCAGCATCAGCATCAGTCCTTTCAGCGAATATTCAGTTGATCTCCTTTAGAATTGACTGACCCATTAGTGGGTCATTAAGTCAACAGCATTTCATTAAATTAAGTAGAATTAATTAAAAAGCATCATCCAAAAAAAAAAAAAAAGCATCATCCATCCATAGGAAAAAATCTAGCCTTGAACCTTCTATCTCAGAGATATTTGTTGGCATATGTGTTCTTGGCTGTTTTGCAATACTGACTGAAATGGAGGTTTAAAAGAAAAAGCTTGAAAATCACTATCTAGGTTCAACTGCCCCATTCCAATGCTATCCCCTCCACTTTCATAATGAGAAAGCTGAGACCCAGAGAAGGGAAGGGACGGGTCAGAAGGTTCATGTAGGGGCTCAGTGAATCTTGTGCAATGGCTAAGACACACATTTAGGAAACATTTAGGATGGAGAGGGAGCTACTAGTGAGGTTTGAAAGCTTCTCCTTCCTTTCTCGGCCTTCACTGTCCCGGTCTCTGCTCTGCCGCGGGGACCCTGACTCACCCAGGTTATACAGCAGAAAGAGGCCCTGGAAGGTGGCTTGGCGGGGGTGGGGACCAGCGCCCAGCGCGTAGCAGCGGCGCAGAGAACCGAAGCTCTCCTGGATCTGGGCTTGCAGCAACGTTGGGTCCACTGGCCCGTGCGTCGCGTTGGGTCTGAACCGCGCCACCACGGCCAGCAGCACGGCCAGAGCCGCTTCCAGCACCAACGCCGTCTCGACGTCACTCGCGCTTTGCAGGGCCAAGTCCAGCCGCACCGCGCGCAACCGGTCCCCCACGAAGCTGGCCACCTCCGCGCAGGACGCGTCGGTGCGCTCGGCCACCTCGCTGGCCAGGTAGCGTACGGTGGCCAGCAGCACGGACGGCGGACGCAGCTGACTCGGCGGGGGCCGGATCTTCCCGGCGGCCGGCCGGCTGTACTCCTTCACCGCGCGCTGTGGGTCGGCTCGGGGCCGGTCCCCGAGGCATCCCGGCACCACCTCGAATCGGTGCAGGCGGCGCTCCTCTTCGCGCTGGGCGCGCTCGGCAGCCGGACACATGTCCAGGCACGTGCCCACGGGCAGCTCGTAGCCGGGCATAGGTGGGCTGGGGGGAAAGGACGGGCGCTCAGCATTCAGTGGACAGCGGCGGCCCATCGCCCCATTCTGGGGGACAGCACTTCAAGGCTGGCCAAGGCGGGGCCAACCCCATCCGGCCCGCCTCCCCGCCCTCGTCTGAGCCTTCCCCCCGCCCGTCTGGCCACCGCCGTCCTCACCGAGTCCTGCCGCCTCCCCACAGACCTCCGTGCAGGCCTCCCGAGACCCTCTGCGTTGTCGTTCAGCGTTGCCAACAGTTCCTCACGCTCGTGTCCCGCTGAAGCCCAACCACAGTGCACCGCTGTAGTCGGATCACTCCCATGATGCACCACTTTACAGTTCCCTTTCTCAACCAATCGCTTTGCAGGAGAGGCTGGGCAGGCGTGGAGCCACGCCTTCCCGGGCTCCCGCCCTCTAATCTCAACACCTTTTAGCTTTGAACCACCCGACCCAAGTGGGGACACCCGCTTTGGTTCCTCTTCACCCGATAACCTGACTCAGTCGGCTTTACTGCCATTCTTTTCTGTTTCCTTGAGGTCTCTTCTCCCTGTTTTCTAGATCAGGGGTCAGCAAACTTTTTCTACAAAGAGCCAAAATAGTAGATATTCTTGGATTTACAGGTCACAGCCCAATCACTCAGCTTTGCTGGTGTAATGAGAAAGCAACGGTCGACAACAGTTAAATGAAAAAGTCTGGTTGTCTTCCAATAAACTTTTATTTTTTAGACACTTAAATTTCATTATAATTTTCACCTATCACAGAATATTATTATTTTGGATTTTTTCAACTATTAAAAAAAAGTAAAAACTCTTCTAGTTCATGGGCCTTATAAAAAAAGGCAGTGGGGCATATCCAGCTGTGGGCAGTAGTTTGAAGACCCCAGTTCTAGATGGATAAACAGATGGTTTACGGACCAGAGTTGCAGCCTCCCATATCAAGATAGAGACAGGCAGGCTCAGACATGTGAGTCCCTGATTCCAAGGTGGCAGGTGTGGTCAGGGAGCTGAGAATTCATTATTTTTCTCATTCCTGGTCCAGTTACATACAGAAATGGCCAGTTATAGGACCAGGTGATCAGGCACCAGGGAGAGAAGAGGGTGGCTGGCAGTGCTGGAGCCAGAGTCCTGGGAATGGGTCCACTCCCATCTCAGGGTGGGAGTTAGGGCAGATGCAGGTGCAGGATTTCCTCTGCCCGCTTCAGGTACTCGGCCGCCTTCTTCTTCACACCCTCTCGGCGGGCAGGTGATGGGTCACCTGGGAAGACAGAATGGCTCAGCAGATTCTGGTACCTGGATTCAGAACCCCTGGTCTAGCTCCTTACTGTCCACAGAGCATCACCATGTGTCTTTCCCTGTTCCTTGGGAGTCAGATATATGCTCCCCATTTTACATATAAGAAAACTGAGGCCACAGAGATAAAGCAGCAGCCCAAGGTTACACAATTGGTCAGTGAAGAACAATTCTGATCCTTGTTTTTCACTTTCCTTTCCCTTCACTGCACCATCCAGGATCCCAGGCCTGACCCTCCAGCCTCCAGTCTTGCTCACCAGGAACTCCCTGGAGCAGGATGTGCACGCCATCCCGGTAGCCCTGCAAAGCGGCAGGGTAGGCACCTGCCTTCTCGTCCCGTAGGGCCTGGGTGATGAGTTTTGTGGCTTGGCTCAGATAGGCAGGGGTGGGGTCTCCTTCCTCGTCGTCTTCCTCTGCTTGTCCACCTGGCTCCCAGGGTTCCTGGTCCAGTCTTCCAGATTCTGCCTCCAACGCTGCCAGCTCCCCTATGTGGGTAGGACTGGGTCCTGCACCTTCTGTAATCAGATATGGAGGACTCAGATCAGACTGGCCCTCCTTTTTCCTGGGCCTGCTGCCCAACCCCAGACCTCTCTGGCCCACCAACCTGTCCTGGGTTTCTCAGTGCCTGAGCAATCCAAAAGCCACTTGTGCATAGCACAGTAGCCATGATCTACTTGGTTGGTATTGTTTGTGTGCTTTTGTAAAAATAGTCTTACTTCCCTAATTCTTTGTTTATAGTGAGATATAGTTGATTTACGATATTATATGAGTTTCATATGCACAACATAGCCTAATACTTTCTTTGTGTGCATGCATGCTCAGTTGCGTCTGACACTTTTGAGACCCCATGGACTATAGCCCACCAGGCTCCTCTGTCCATGGGATTTTCCAGGCAAGAATACTGAAGTGGGTTGCCATTTCCTACTCCAGGGGATCTTCCCAACCCAGAGATCAAATCCAGGTGTCCTGTGTCTCCTGCATTGCAGGTGAGTCATCATTAACATTAATTTGAAGCTCTGGGTCACTGGTTCTACTTCCCTCCTGACTACAACAAATTCCAGAATTTCCTCCACAAAGTTTAATTGAAGGTTGCTAGGTCAAGCATGCCAGGTCAAGGGTAGAAATGCTCCAAGCTTTGGAATCTTAGAATGATGGATCCAGAGAACCTCCAGGCTTTTTAAAGTCTTTCAATTTCAGCTGAGGCCCCAAATGGGAAGAAGTGGGTGGAAGGTATTCACACATTCCAGACAGAAGGGCTCATATATCCTCTAGGACTGGCAAGGAGATGGTCAAAGATTCCCTCCGTAGATTCCACAAAAGAAGGCTAGCAATCTGGTGAACCTTGGATGAAAAGGCCTTTAAAGGGAAGGTGCAGGACTAGGAACCACCACTGCACACCACTGGCCTGGAGAGGGAAGGGTGGGCCTCTCTAGACGCCCACCAGAGGGACCCCATGTGGAGACCAGGGGCCTTATAGGGAGGTAAGGTGACATTTCACTTTCCAGTTGGACTACAGCCCTTCCTGTGTTGCTCATGAAGAAAAAGACAGAAGGGATCTTGGGACACCCTAGTACTTGAGTTCAAGAGCCTGGTGTATGTGATGAAAAGAGATGAGCTGCAGCTCCTCACCTGGAGAATTCTGATGGTAAAAGGTTGGCTAGATGACCCTACAAAGTGGGGCAAGGACAGGAGGCAGCATCTGAGCAAAGTGCCCTTCCAGCTTGGTAGGGGCGAGGATTTAGGAGTTCTTCCATGGATCGAGGGAACATCTTATGGGAGCTGCCTTTGAGGAGTCTTGCCAGGCTCTTGCCCAAGCACCTGGGCACTGGGCACCCCAGGAGGCTTGGCTGGGGCCAGGCAGAGTGCCTGGATCCTGCCTCTCTGTAGCCAGGTTTATCAGCCACGGTGACATCACCCCTGCCTTTCTCCTCCAAAGGACATTCCTCACACCCTGGTTACCATGGCCAGGGGCCCAGCCACCAATCAGGCCTGAGTTGCGGGGGGAGGTACAGGGTAAGGCTGAAAACTGGAGAAAGACTCGAGGTCCTGATTTGGATCGGACCGCAAAGTGAGAGAACTCAAGTGCCTGAAACGATCAGAAAGCTAAGGGCCTGCCCAAGAGGTCACCAAAGGGTAAAGAAGGGAAGCCAACAAAACAGGCTGAAAAAGACAACTGAGGAAGCCAAAATGAAACTGTCATGATGACCCGAAGTGCAATCGACCACTTCAACACCCCAGCTGCAGTAACAGCATAAACTCAGAGAATTTTAAAATGAAAAGATCCTGAGTCTCAGAGCCAGGGATTGTCAAGCTCCTGATCTGACAAGGAGCTCAGGACCAGGGCCTCCATGGGGGGGGGGGGGGGGGGCTTCCACGTCTGGTGCCCTCACATGCCAGAGGCTGCCCCAGGGGCTTCCTCTGCTGTCCTTGGAGCCCAGACCTCACTGCCCTTCACCAACAGGATCTATAACCTTCAGGATCTACAGCCAGACCCTGAGCCATCCAGGAAACCTCCACCTCGGGCTTCGAGCGAAAGAAGTCAGACCCTCTCAGGGCAGTGTGACACCCTGCTGGTTCCAAAGCATTCTCAGGGAGGGGATCCACAGTGGGAAGTGGCTCACTTCCTCGACAGTTGCTCACTGTGCTGGGGTACCCAGCTGGCCAGGGCAGCAACAGCACCTGGGAAGGGACGGTTCAGTTCAATTCAGTTCAGTTGCTCAGTCGTGTCCGACTCTTTGCGTCCCCATAGACTGCAGCATGCCAGGCTTCCCTGTCCATCACCAACTCCCGGAGCTTACTCAAACTCATGTCCATCGCATCGGTGATGCCATCCAACCGTCTCATCCTCTGTCGTCCCCTTCTCCTCCTGCCTTCAATCCTTCCCAGCATCAGGGTCTTTTCCAATGAGTCAGTTCTTTGCATCAGGTGGCCAAAGTATTGGAGTTTCAGTTTCAGCATCAGTCCTTCCAATGAATATTCAGGACTGATTTCCTTTAAGATTGACTGGATGGATCTCCTTGCAGTCCAAGGGACTCTCAAGAGTCTTCTCCAACACCTTCCTTGGGAAGGGGCACTGCTTCTAATTCTCATCAAAGCTGCCTTTCGCCCACAGTGGGGCGCCTTTCTCTGATTTACACAGGCAAGGTGCAGCTGGTGGCTCTGCCTGCCTCTGCCTCCCTACAGGTAAGGACCTCCTGCCCAGCTCCATCCCCTCACCCTACCCCCACCTGACTTGTCCCAACTTGTTACCTTCCTTGGAGAAGGGGTCAAATAGGGCAAGCTCAGCCTCGGTGAGGGGGCCTCGGGCAGGGGAACTGGATGCCTCCTCGATGCTCCCACAGTTAAAGAGGAGATCCAAGGCCTCCTGAGCAGGGCTGGATGGTGGCGGGTCTGCTGAGGAATAGATCAGTGGGGTCATTCATGTCTGCTTTTATTATTATTTCCCAGCTTTCAAAATGTCATTACCCGCTCACCGAAGCCTTGCAGCAACCATGGGCATAGACAAATCCATTCTTAAGGTTTGTGCCCATTTTACAGATTAGCAAACTATAGCCCTGAAAAGGAAAATGACCTGTGCAGAGTTCCTCAGCAGGATGGCGGCAGAGGAGTCCAGAACGGCTTTTCACTGAGGAGAGAGTGGTTCCCACTCCCCAAACATACAGGCTCTGGACCCTCTAGCCCTGGCTCACTCTCCTGCCCCACATACCTGGCACC